ACTTACGTTTATGACGACGAACAAGGCGTCTCCTATCCATTAACGCCTTCTTCTCTGATTTATGGCCGTACAATTGCAACCACTGCAAATGACAAGCACTATGCGATTGTTAGCACAAATCAATCCCTTACGCGAAGAGAAAAGTATCATCGGAGACTGTTGGAGAATTTCGTCAACCAGTGGAAAGCTGAGTATCTTTTAAGTCTATTGGAAACCGGTAGAACAACCTCAAGATCTGGCCAAATAGTTGTAAACGAAGGGGATATGGTTATTCTTAAATCAGATCGAACGTCACACGCCTTTAGGAAGGTGGCGAAAGTTGAAGAGCTAATTCCAAGTGTAGGTAACATTGTTCGAGTGGCAAGAATTCGTGTGATTGACGAGAAAAATGGGAAATATTAATATTATGATTCTTATTACAGAATGGATCTTGCATTAAAGCCTGCCCCACACAAGAGCATGCAACTACTCGAGTGACTGTTGGCGACAGACATATTGCCACGATGGTCCTTGGACGAGCTTCGCGAAGCCCAGAGCACAGATAGTGGTATGGTGAAGCTTCTCAAATTGGATGGACTTATATTTCAGAATTGTTGATGAGCACATACCTCAAATTACCATTAAAGACAACAACACACAGCCTTGGATCGATAAAGATGTTATGCATATTTTTCGACAAAAGAATAAGAAGAATTGCAAAAGAATCATGCAAACAAAAGCACTTATGATTCCAAGAGGAAATCCAAATTATGATTCCAAGAGGAAAGAGGCCAAACTAATTTTGAGTAATAAGTATAGAGATTATATAAATGATATAAAATTGTCTTTCAAGGATAACCCACAGAAATTCTGGAGCTTTGTGAAAGCTACTACCAAATCATTATCATATCCACAATTTCTAAACTATGAGAAAGATTTCTCGTCATGTAGCATACACAAATCGAACATGTTTAATCGATTTTTTCAGTCTGTGTTTTTACAAAATTATATTAATGTATGCAATGAGCACGCTTCTCAAAATCATCCTGAAGCGGAGTTTTCCCTGAATGAGATTGTTTTAAAGTGCCTATATCACTTGTGGGATCTTTACAGATTTGAATAGAGCTTGAAAAATTAGTTTATAAGTTCTACAACCCTTTTTTATATAGTTAAATAGTTTCAGAAATATTTACATGTAAACATGACGATTTGCCTAAATTTCTGTCGTGCTCTGGGGCCTGGGACTCAGGAACGGAGTTCTTGTCAAACATAATATAATCAATTGTAATTTTACTTCGATCTTCCAATAACATAAAATATTTAAAGACTAGAAGTTACTATCGCAAGGGAAGTGCTGGCATCGCAAGTCCATTTATCGCATGTTGAAGAAAAACAACGGCTGTTTAAAATAAATTTGTCTACTCCACAGAGGCTTTCTGGGCTTTTTTTAAAGTGAATAATATTGTGAACATTGTCGTGAACAATAGGTGCATTAAGGCGCGTCACAGTTGAATGTTGCGATGAATGAATGACAACATGGACTTTTGCGCGTGTATTTGATACAGCATTAATTTGCTTCTGCCATGGCCAGCAGCTTCACGCGTGCTGAGAGTGAGAGGCAGTTGTGAATAGACTCCTCAAGGTTAATTGATTTTCCGCCATATGGTATGCCTGCGGCTGCGGGGCGAGAGAACTGGGTTTGAGCTCCGCGGCCCGCCGATTCGGGCATTTACATTTAGATTTTTAAAATACGTATGGCGGTCACAGAATGTTTTCCTTTTTCCCACCATTTCCAATGAAGCACTGTGTTGTTGTGGCGAGACGGGGTTTTATTTCAATTAATAATAGTGATACTCAATCTCGTCTCCAGTGTGCCTAGAACCCGCGATGCTTTGCTTGTAAGTGTGAAAATTGAAGGCTATTATAAGAGGTGGGTGGCGGCTTGTTGGGGCGGCTCTTGTGCGCTGTCATCACGCGGAAATACAAATCAACAAAAATCGTCCTTTGTTGTGACTTCAAGCATGTTAAACCGCTCAATAAAACGAGGAGCATGTAGATGTTGTTCACAGTTTATTTGCCGCTGACATGATGTTTTTAGTTTGTGTTGGGTTTATACTGCCACAAACAAACCCGAAGAGACGTTGAACTACGCAACATCTGTCTTCGCGGCGTTTCATTGAGCCTTGAAGTCACAACAAAGGACGATTCGTGTTTATATTTCCGCATGATGACAAGCGCACGACAGCCGCGGTGACGAGCTGCTACACACCTCTTATTAGTAATAGCCTTCAATTTTCACACTTACAAGTAATTGAAATGAAATCCCGTCCATCTTGCCAGAACAACACACTGCTTCGTTAGAAATCGTTAAATTCAGTAATTACTTGCTGGTTTGCCTACGAAGTGGCAAAAACGAAAACTTTCTATAACCGCCATTTGTACTGAATCTTAATGTCTGTGGCGGGTCGCGCACTAGTCGCGCGGGCCGGCGTGGCTCAAAGCCATTTTTTTGGCCTGGCGGAAATAACCTTGCAGGGGTTTGCAAAGCTGTTAAATGCAAGACATGGCTTTGAACACGTGGTCGTGGTCTGTTAACTGACTGTGGTTTGGTGACTTTGATTCATTGATCTTTCATCTTCGCCTTGATAACTGTGTTACAGTGTTAGTAGTGGTCAGACTGTCAGAAGCATCGGATTGTGACGTTGGAAGGTAAGCGAGTCGTATTTTATTAGGTTTTTGATGGGATATGATTTTGTAAATGCTGTTGTTTGAAAAGGAAAACCAATGAGCATATTCTATTGCACGAGGGCCAACGGGAGGGAGTAGTGTAATATTAGTGTAATATGTAATCGGCAATGCCAATGGCAATGGACTTATGATTTACATGTGATACGGATTTTGTCAACAAACATAGACGTTAATATTAAACTACTTGTAAATTGTTTTTTTATAGTGAAAATTGCCTGCGAGCCGCTATAGTGAAAATGGAAACGATTGTCGAAGATACTATTAAAGGTACGGTATTACCAACTATTCAATGACAATTACAATATGTTCATTTATTTCGGAGCTGTATGGAATTTGTTGACAGAGCTTTTTAGTTTTTAATGTGTATTGTAAGCATTGTTTTTTTACATTCGTAGAAAATGAAGTTGTATTGGGCTCTGACAATTGTGACGTTAACAATACGGCACCATGGCCAGTGGATGATGAAAACATTACCTGCTATATACACAACGTGTCACCCATTAAAAAATCCTCAAATAACGAGAAACGGTATTTCAATTTCGTAGTCCAATGTAAGGACAAGCCAAGAAGGGCTGTATGTTTCTCGCCAGAAAGACGATGCGAAGTGCATACAGTTGCACAAACGAAAAGCCCTGTGAAGATTCAAAATATCAAGAAAGGAAACAACCAGGACGATGACGAAATCACGCTGAAAAAGTTCTCCAAAATTACCGCGGTTGACAAGGTCGATTTTGAAATTTCTGACTGTTTATCGCAAGGTGTTGATGCTGTTATCCCACTGTCCAGCCTGGAGAAGCTTGCGAAAGAGCAACTTATATCCGTTAAAGCCGAAGTCTTTCACATTGGTGGTGTGAAACGGGTAAATTCTGGCACAAAGGGTAAGTTGATGAAACAAGATGTTGTTATCCGCGACACAACATCGTCGGCAAAGCTTACTCTTTGGGAGAATTATGTGAATTGCTTGGAACTAAACCAAACCTATTTGTTGAAGAATATAAGAGTAAAAGGATATGGAATGTATCGATATCTGAACACTGCAATGAAAGAAACGTTTGTGCACACACCATGTGATCCTTACCAGCAAAGCCTTGTTACCATTGACAGCAATCTGATAGAGTCAGCCAAATCAAAAGTGTTGCCAGGGCGTATAATTGGTGTCCAAAAGTCGTCGAGATACCTCACGTGCGGTGCTTGCCAGAAGACTGTGGATGTCAAAGGTGATGGGATTTTGGGAGTTTGCCGTTCTTGTCATTTAACGCAGGCAAAAGTGTCATGCAACGTGCAGTGGATGTTACGTGTTTTGGTTCAGGATTGTGATAGTCAGAAAAACACATCTTTAGCATTGCCTCACAATCTTCTTCAGCTGATCATGACATTGTTGCCTGGAAACGTTAACTTACAAACTGCATCAGAAGACGACATTGTGATTGCCTTACTGTCCAACCAGAAGGTATTGAAATTCACGTTTGATCACAAATGTCAAATCACAGATGTTCAAGTGTGAGACATACAAATCCTGAGAGCTGCCTTTGGAAACAAGAACTTTAAAAGATATTAAGGTGTTTAAAAACAGTACATTTATATATACAGTTGTTTTGTTCATCAGTTAGGTTTTAATTGTTTAATTGTTACTGTTAGCAATGTTGGTTGACATAATACTCATGTATACCTATAGGCAGCCCAGACATGTTTTCGTTCTCGTGGCGCTCGCGCGTGTACACGAGTCTACTTGGTCTATTATTATTATTATTATGACATAATAATAGACCAAGTAGACTCGTGTACACGCGCGAGCGCCACGAGAACGAAAACATGTCTGGGCTGCTATGGTCACAGTTTATTTCGTTAACATCATATAACTTACTAAATTTTCTATGGACATAGTATTGTACAGGGTGTATCGAAAAAATGGTAACACAAATGTGACGCGCTATATCTCAACAAATCGTTGATAGATTTCATCGAGTTTTACATCATTGGAAAGCTTAGTTATTTAGCTTTTAAATGCTATGTTTTATGTGGCATTTCGACAAGAAACCAGTGAGCAGTGCTTCGGCAAAAGTTTTAAGTGAAAATTGCATATTTCCACCGATGGGAATTGCACACGTTTCTTTTGAAATTTAGTCCCAAGAGGTTTAAAACCCTATCATCGCCGATTATTATTAGAATTTGATTTACGTAGTGCGAGTATGCATGACTTAGCACGCGACAAAATAAAAGAAGATGGGTCAATTGACAATTGAACAACGTACATTTATTGTGAGAACCTTTTATCACCTTGGCAGCTTAGCAAGAACACGAGATGCGTTTAGAGAGAGATTTCCTGAACGACAAGACATAGCAATTAAGACCATCCGATATAACATAAGAAAGTTTGAACAGCATGGCACCAGTCATAACCGAAACAAGGGGAATTCTGGCAGAAGAAAGACTGGCAGATCTGCAGAAAACATTGAATTGGTGAGGAATCGGCTCGCAGAACATCCGACTGGTACCAGTGCAAGACGTAACGGTGTTGGCCTACCATCGGCAACTTTTAACAGGATAACCCGCTTGGACCTGAGACAATACCCGTATCGAATGCACGTCCGACACCAGCTACTACCACGCGATTTTCAAAGACAGTTGAATTTTGCAAGGTGGTTGACCGAACAATGCGAGAGAAACGAAAATTTCCTGCGAGATTTTGTCATTGGTGATGAAGCTACATTCTGTATGAATGGTGATGTCAATACTCAGAATGTCCGGGAATATGCTCCAGTAGGTCAACCGCCAGAATTCAACTACGATGTGAATTGCAGCCGTCAGAAGGTGACAGTTTGGATAGGTTTGTGTGGAAGTGGTGAGATTATTGGTCCGATTTTCTTCGAAAGGAACGTCACCGGCCTCAATTATTTGCAAATGCTTAACAATGATGTTGTTCCGCAGCTTTTGGAGCATTTTGAAATGCAAGTGGGAGGCGTATTCAGGCATCTTTGGTGGGTGCAAGATGGTGCACATCGTCTCTGTGCTGTTACGCAACGCCTAAGAGAATTGTTCGGCAATCGAATTGTTGCGTTACATCATGCAGTGGAATGGCCACCTCGTTCTCCCGACCTCACGCCGTGTGACTTCTTCTTGTGGGGCTATTTGAAAGGCAAAGTTTTTACCAACCCTCCCAACGATATTGATGACCTGCGAGCTCGCATTCATCGGGAAGTCGCTGTGTTGGTGAACGATCAGGCACTCGTCAGAAGGACGGTGCAGAGCATGCGACGGCGTTGTGAACTGTGCATTGAAAGAAACGGAGGACACATGGAAGGTGTCGGAGCATAAACACTGCATGACCGTAATTATGTAAAACAATCGTGCGTTTTTAACATTGTAAATTGTTGTTATTATTGATTAAAAATGCATATCAATTGTCTCATTAATTCCCATCGGTGGAAATATGCAATTTTCACTTAAAACTTTTGCCGAAGCACTGAACCTGTGGTCCAGTGTTGGTCTCTGTAATGGAGCTACAGGAACAGTTGTTGATTTTATTTTCAAAGACAACCATCAACCACCTGACTTACCTATTGCAGTCATGGTTCAGTTTGACAACTATAGAGGTCCTGCTTTCAGTGAGAACCAACCATTGTGTGTTCCAATATGTCCCATCACTGTGTCTTCACAGGAAGGAGGTAGTTATCATGAGAGGCAACAGTTACCTCTCAGGCTTGCTTGGGCTCTCACAATACACAAGAGCCAAGGACTGACTCTTCCAACTGCTTGGATTGACATTGGGAAATCAGAGAGAACTTCTGGAGTCTCTTATGTTGCTATCAGTCGAGTAAAAACATTATCCTCGTGTGTTATTGAACCAATGTCTTATGAAAGACTGTCAAAGTTGAAGTCCTCAGTGAACTTACAATACAGGCTTGATGAAGAACACAGGCTAGACCACTTGGCACGAGTAATTTACAATTCAGACCACTAATGAGGTCACTAATGAACATGTTATTATATGTACTACAGCTGTAAGTTATATTGAACAGGATCACAATTGCTCCTTCAGAAATACAAATTCACTGTGTGGTGCAGTGCATACATTTTACTATTTTTTGATAGTAAAATGTTTGATACTAGCAATAACAAGAGTTTTTCAATTTTTCTCAATGTGACTGAACCTTAAAGAGTAATATTTTACATGCAAAATATTAATCAGAAATACAGGGTGTATCGAAAAAATGGTAACACAAATGTGACGCGCTATATCTGAAGCTATATCAGACATATCATCTGAGGACATTTTCTTTGCCTTTGCTGAGGAATGGCGAGCATTGATGCTAGCTGTTGGTTGCTCAAGTTGTATAAGTTGCTCGTGATTGTAATTAGCAACTTGTTCATTGCTATAGAATAGTCTAGTGGCATGTGTAAATTCAGACAAATCTGCCATTTTAGATGGCTGACGTGTCAAAAGTAATTGCCAGTCAGCGACAGTCGACTCTCCTTTACGAAGTCGTAAGAGTAAATCTCTGAACTGTACTTGTTCAGAACTTATGCCTTGTACTCGCTGATTAACAGTGAGTGTAACAACCTTGTGAAACATACGATATGCTTGGTAACCTTGTTCACCAACAGCATTTGATGGTTTGGCATGATACAGGGGCTTGTCAGCCACTGGTGGTAACTGACCTGGATCACCAGTTAAAATCACTGATTTTCCACCAAAAACCTTGTCATAATGACCTGTTGCCTGCTTGCAACGTTTGTCAATCCAGCCAAATGTGGTCTGGCCCAGCATAGAATACTCATCAATAATGATGTAGTCAATGTCATTAAGACTGTCCTGCAATCTACAGAGACTTTCACCTTTGAGGTCATTCTTACCCCTTGGTCCTATGGGTAATTTCAATAAGGAATGCACAGTTACACCATTAATGTTGTAAGCAGCTTTACCAGTTGTAGCAGTCACTGCACATTTACCTTGCAAAAGATTTCGAATGCCATTAATAAGGCAGCTTTTACCGGTACCTGCAACACCGTTTATAATCAGACACAATGACTGTTTGTCACATGATGGGTCATTAAAATGATTTTCAACAATGTTGTATGCAACATTTTGCATTTCACTAAAAGTGTCAGTATTTACTGACTCATATTGTTCAGGGACACTGTAGTCCTCTTTCTTTGTTTTTATCCATGTTGCCATTTCATGGATTTGTTGTTCAGTGTAACTGGTTCGATCAGCCTGCCAGTCATATGTTGACTGCTGTGTTTCCTCAGAGTTTTCAAAAGGAGTGTTGAGGTCAGATAGTATCATCCACTCCTCATGGGTTACTTCCTGTTGTTGAGGAGTTTCATCATGATCTTCTTCTTGACTTTGAATGACATTTTGCAATTTGTCAATCCAGTCTGCTACATTGGTTTTTCCATATGTTGTGTGCAAAAACTCATGCCAACAATTAATGAGAACCTCATCAGTTGGTTCTTGATCACCCCAAGCATTATTGGGCGTCCCTGTCCAGGGTTTGTACCTTAACAGTTGGTACTTGCAATAAAGTCCAAAATTTGGACCTTTCGGGTTCAGAGAATATGTTGGAAATATTCTTGGTATCACATTGGGGGATAATTTTGTCAATGCTTCATTAACAACTTTGTATGTTGTAACAAACTGAACGAAGTTCATATTGTGTACTTCAGATGAAGTACTATATTGCTGTCGGTTAGCATACACATCAAGGAGCGAGTGTTCAGTACAGGATTCACCTTCTTCAATACTGGTGACATCTCGTACTTTACGAGAACCATTCAAACTTACTGGCATCACATTAAATGATGAGCTATGCAGTTTCAATGACAACAAATGATGCATTGTTTCTTGAGCTGCATAATCTCTCTCACCAAGAGATTTCATGACAACTTTCTTAATAGCACGACGAGGATCAGTGCAACTATCAACATTTTGCATAATTGAATTGAACGCTTGTTTCAATACAGGTGACCTTGGTTCACCTTTGGCAGCATACTTGGTGCAACACAAGCATAGTGATCAATGACAACTTGAATATCACAGTTAGCTCTCCACCCTTGCAGCTGAACCTTTTGATGGTTATTTAACCATGTGTCATTTCTCTTAGTGACAATTTTTGCCCTGTAGTGCTCGTTTTCACCTTTGGTGTGAACTTTCTCAAATTCCAACATTGTCTGAGGACAATGTTCGATTGGAAAATGAAATCTACATTTCAACTCTTTTTCATTTCCCTTCTTCCTAAGGCAATAGCTAGTACTACAACGAGTGTGTCGTTGGACCATGTTTAGCAGATCCACATAATCTGTTGGCTTATCCCAATCAGGAATATCATTATGGCGTCGTTGACAAGGATGAACCTCAGGTCTTATCCAGGTGTCTTCCTCTGGACAGTTAGGGTTCATGGTTGACATTAACCAATCAACATATCGACATACAGTGTCAGCAGCAACTTGACCGGCTTCAATATCCTGGTCTAATTCTGTGGTTTCAATGCACTCATTTTTATCTTTGAATTTCTGTGCTAAGAATCCCTTCAAAGCAGTCTGGGTTAGCTCACACAAGCCTGGGTCATTGTTCAGTTTGGCAGTGCCATGACAGTGAATACTACCTCGACCTTAGTACTCATATCTGAACCAGTGCCATTTGGCACCAAGGGTGCCATAAAGCCAGTGTTTCACAAAGCTTTCGAGTCGTTGGGTAAAAAACCAATCAACAAGGTGTGGATTGTCAATGACATTTTGTCGTCTTGTTTGTGCACTAGTTGTGTCACAGTCAGGATAAGCACTAAACAATGCATGTAACTCTGGCCAATGCATATCTGCAGAGGAGAAGGTGAAGAATATTGTTGGAGCTCCAACATTAGTAATAATGGCTTTAAGCTCTTCTCTTACTATATTTCAATAAGCATCAGTACCACCAATATTGGCAACATATCTTGATACTTTAGACATAAAGACATTTGCACTGTTACTGGCCAGCCATTTCACGTAGTTCATCAAGAGTGAGATGAGCTTCACCTGGGTTTTGTTTTAGGAAAATTCCAGTTTGCTGTAAAATTCGCTTTCTCTGAATCATGTTAAATGCCCAGTATGCAAATCTGGGGTGACTAGCAAAGCGGTACACCCATTTACCATTGACAATTTCAGCAAATTTTAGCAGATGCTTTATTTGTTCCTGAAAAGGCACATCTCTGAGAAGACCTTTGTTAGTAGGGTCAGCTTTCCCATCTGGAAATAATGCCGGAAAGGCCATTACGGCTAAATAAGAAACCTGATACTCATTTACAGGTTCATTGTTAAGAGATGGCCATGCCATTGGCTCATCTTCAGCAAGCTGATTTTTAACAGCTTCAAGTTCTTGTTGTTCTTGTTCACGAACAGGTGAAAAGCTACTCATGTCAGTTGAGTCATTGTAAACAACATCCTCTGAAGGATTGTCAACAGGTGGTCCAGTATTCTGAGGACAATCATCTGAGATGATGTCATCATTAGTCTCAACAGTCATTAGTTCTGGTGGTACACCATTGTCAGGTAAACTGTTTAATGTATGCTCATTAATTGTTACTTCAGAATAATGTGGATTATTATTAATTTTAGCCAGGTGAGTGCATCATGGACTTTTTGCTTTTGCACAGTCACATCTTTGAATGTGTTGTCTCGACCTTTGACTTTAACAATAATTACAGCCAAATCTTTAGGATATCTTGGCAAAGTTGTTGCCAATTCAGTAACATTTTGTGGCAAGTTAATACAATGCCCAGAATAACCTCGTTGACCACCAGGTTTGATATATACCCTCATGATTGGAAGGGCTCTAGCAATCAACATTTCCTCAACTTGGGTTAAACCATGCAGTTCTTGTGGAACTTCCTGTGGAACTGTTAAAGGAATTGTAGAATTTTCAATTGAAAATTTTTTTGGAGATTTCTTATCACTCAAGCATCGTGAACACAGATAAGGTGCTCTAGGTTTTGACTTTAAGGGCCATGCTTCATAGCATACAGTACATTGATTTACAGTGTATTGCACAGATCTGTGAAATTTATTCATGTTGTCCTTTGCCCAACATTGTTCTTCAATACCACCATTAGTGGTGTCATATGTTGTTAAATAATCAGTTTGGTTTATTTTATCTGGTGACTTGGACTTATTAACCCGTCTTTATCTTTGGCAAAGTTTATTATTGTTTTTTCGAATTTCTTTCTCACTGTCAGTTTCATTTGACAGTTTTCTCCTTTTCAACTTATTATTTCTCTCAAGTCTCATTTGCCTTTCACTGTCATTTTCATTTGACAGTTTTCTTTTGTGTGACTCATTATCTTTCCGACGTCTTATTTGTTTCTCAGTGTCACTTTCTTTTGACAGTCTCCTCTTTTTTGACTCATTCTTCTGTAGTCTAACATGTCTGTCACTGTCAGTCTCATTTGACAGGTTTTTTGTTACATGATTGTCATGATTTTCATTTTGTAAAGTGCAAGAAACACCTTTTAATTCAAAAGGTACAATTGTATGATTGTTATTTAAAGTCAACTGAAAGTATTTGACTAAATTGTGTAACTGCTCAACAGATGTTAAAACACAGTAACCATATGAACATGGCATGCCATATTCATCTCTTGAATGAGAATCGAAAATTTTAAAAACATCAGGAAAAGGCCTGAATATTGACACTGTGTTATCACCAATGGTGAGGAAAGCACTCTGATAATTCAGCAATGAGCTAGAGAATATCTGGTTTAGAGCATGTTTTAATGTAACATATGGCTCATTGTTTGAGGTCATGAATAAACCTCCACAAAATGACTCACTATATTGTAAGTAATATATTTTATTGTACATTGATACCAGTTCAGGTACATCAGTAAGTAGTAAGAAATCTTTCTCTACTGATCTACTAATACAATCATAAAGACTGTTACCAGTTAATAATATTGAGTTCAATATTGACTTATCCCAAATATTTACACAAGTTATGTTGTTGTACACAATTGAAGCCAGTGACATTGCAACACACTGCTTTCCACAGTTACCTCCAAATCTAGGGTCTGCTTGGTTAAAATCAGCCAAAACTGTCTGATTGCAATTAACAACTTGATTAATAGTTGTAGGCTCTGGGTTTTCTTCAACTTCAAGAGAGGCAGACATCTCACAAATGATGCTGTGATATAGCAGACAATGTCAGTAAATTTAGGTTTGGTAAAGCACACACAACAAAGTGGTTTTAAGTTGTGGTAAAGCACACACAACAAAGTGGTTTTAAGTTGTGGTAAAGCACACACAACAAAGTGGTTTTAAGTTGTGGTAAAGCACACACAACAGTCAAGTTTAGGTCGTGGTAAAGCACACACAACAAAGTGGTCGGACTTTTTAAACCTGTCTCTAAATCTAGGGGTTATGCGTACTGCATGGGAGAAAGCAAATGTGACACCTGTCTACAAAAATGGAAACGCTGATTGCGTGGAAAACTACAGACCAATTTCGCTGTTGTGCATCCTTTTGAAAGTTATGGAAAGATGTGTTTATAATAGCCGAATTCATATTAAAGACGGGAAACTCGTCTTAGACGGGAAACTCGTCTAAGACGGGAAACTCGTCTGATGTGAATCCGGTCACAGACGGGTTTCTCGTCTGAATTTATTCGTCTAACTTTCCCCTCTAAACAGACGGGTAAGTGAGACGGGAATCCCGTCTGGATGGGAAACTCGTCTTAAATTCGCATTTAGACAGATAAATCAGACGAGTTTTGCTGACTTTTGCATAAACAACATGGTGAAAGACTGAAACTAGAAGGTCGCTTAAGACAAAATGGCGCCCAAAAGAAAGCAAAGTAAGACAAGAAAAGCCCCAAAAATGACTTCCTGTCAACAAACAAGAAATAGAACTTGGACGGAGGAGGAAACAATAACATATGCGAAAGTGCTTTGTGCAACTGAAGGCACAGATCGGTCTTGGTTACACCAGATAGAACTATGCACTTAAAAGAACTTCAAATGAAATGCTATTTCAACGTATAAAGCAGCACTTTGAAGTAAGCATGGAATATGAAGAAGAAGATGCTACATTTACGACTGAACAACTACGCGCAAAGTTCAAATGGTTTAAAAAACAATGGCGAACTATTGACACCAAAATAAGGAATGAAACTGGCCTTGGAGCAAAAGATACAGCTGTACCATCCTGGTATGATATAATGAACCCACATTTCAGCGAAGCCGTTGATGACATGACATCAGTTTCCAGTAAAGCAAGCAATATAGATACCACATTTGATTCCACTGATACAGAGGATGATTCTACTCATGAATTTAGTGATGATGGCGATTATTCTACAAGGAACAAGAGAAGATCACTTTTTGTTTTCCATGTTAAAGAAAACAAAAAGTGATTGGCTCACAATTAATGAGAGCAAGGCATTCTGAACAAGATATGTGCATTTCAAAACAGTGTATTCTAAAATGAACATACATTTACATCCTTAGTTACCATACCAAAAAATTGGTTACATTAAAACCTTTGTTGACATTGAAGTTACTTTTTATCTTAGGTTTCAAGAGTGTAATAACAATTTTTCATTTGAGTTGATCACATGATAATAAAACAATGGTATCAGAGTGTTCATAGCTTTGAGAACCCATAACAAATAATAATTGCGTTCGACGAAGGAGAACGCTTCCTAATCGTGATGTCACGGCTGGATGCTATGTCATTTCGAGATTTTTGGATGTAACATTTGCCTCGGTTTCGTGTTTTTGCGTATGCTCTGATTTCCGGGTTTTGTGCCGTGTCCTAATGTCACATGCTTTCCGTATTTTGCGATAATACGCTGTTGTTTATAGGACCGGGCATTTGGCTTTCATATTCGCCTGTTTATTAAGAAGTTATGGGAATTGTACACTCGATTATTTTGATTTGAAGTGTCTGCAATATGACTGAGAATTC